TTTTATATTAATGCCTGTCAGTATTATGCTGGTAAGATCTTGTGAAATACTGATGGAATGCTGGTTCTCCTTTTATCTGGCACTTTTGTGAAAGGATAGTCTGCAGAAATAACTTGCACATATGCATTTTAATTTTAGTGTTTGTAAAGAAGTGTTTGATGATCTGGTACAGTATGTGCGTCCTGTGAGTTTTCCATGTAGCTTTTATAGATATGCTGTAATTGTTTGGTCTTTTTTCATTATGAGAAACTCAACCTGTTTTAGATCAGATGGTGGACATAAGACTATCTCCTAAGACAGGTGGAAATGTGTGTGTGTGTGTGTGTGTGAGAGAGAGAGAGAGAGAGAGAGAGAGAATGAGAGAGGGTGTGTTGAATTATTAAGGAGAATTCAGAAGATTGATGGATGCAGACACACACATGCAAGAACACACTCTGTGCAAAATTCCCCAAGGTGCTGGAAAGCAACACCATATTTATTCACTTGTCAGGAGATTTTATATTCTGTGATATGACCTGTGGCATCTCTCATAATCCATAATCTATAATGTTTTAGGTCATGGACAGACACAAGTAAGAATTCAATATTCTCTCAAGGACTGGAGGACGTACGCATCCTTCTATGACACTCTCACCTCATGCATGTTTGTTGAAATCCTTCTGTTGGCTCGCAGTGTTTTGTTCTGCTTATTAAAATTACTCTAATTTATGTGAGAAGATTGGTATGCATATCTACAGTACCATATGAGTTTATTTATTGAATCTATTGGCATCAGTCAGTATTGAATATTTCCCCTATTTTGAAATTTCGTTTACCTCTGCTGTCATCAAATAATCACTTAAAGTAAAATCTTCAAAAGTAATAATAATGTAATAACACATACATTATGTTGTGAAGCCTAAATTCACTTTACTAACGCTTAAAAAAAAAATTTTTTTATTTTTTTATTTAATCAAAATAGTCAAAAAATGTTATTCTGCTCATTTATTGGTTATTAGTCATGACATGAAAACAACGATCAGTGTTTATATTGGCCAGAATTTTATTATCAGTTTAGCCCTATGTGCATAGTTATCTTGTTCATTTTTCTTTTTGAAAGATTACACAGATGTTAATCAATGCTAAATACATCTGTAGATGTTTCACTTTTTCTTTGGGGTTTAACGTGACCTTCTAAAACCATTAATCAGTTGGGGAGTCTCTCCTTAGAGAACAGCTGCTTATGTTCTTTGGTATTTAGAAATCTTGTTTGACGAGGTCATTTCTTATACCTGTCTCCAGAAGAGCACATATTTTTGTATTTTGATGAACGTTTTTTAAATTGTAGCATCTGACTTTAAATTACTTCATAACAGAGTTAATTAGCCTTGAAGGTAGGATGAATTCTTAATAGATGCCTGTACTAGGTCAAAGAGGAATGAGTCATATAGGGTAGAGGAGCATGAAGTGTGTGTCCATGAGCAGAATGTGGTCGTTTGAAAATAATCTCATGCATACAATTAAATGGCAAAAGAAACTGATGAAGTAGTTTCCAGGTTGAACTCAGCATCAACCCAGAAATAGGCTGAATTGAGCAATAAAAAAAAAAGAAAGCAAGAAAGAAAATTGATGACTTATACCAATTGAAAAAAAGAGATGAATGGAAATATAAAGCTGCTAGATAGCAGCAAAAGGAAAAACTACCACTCAGGAGGTTGAACTCAGCATCAACCCAGAAATAGGCTGAATTGAGCAATTAAAAAAAAAGAAAGCAAGAAAGAAAATTGATGACTTATACCAATTGAAAAAAAGAGATGAATGGAAATATAAAGCTGCTAAATAGCAGCAAAAGGAAAAACTACCACTCAGTCAATGTGATTAAGAATTTCATTAACGACTTTAAAAAAGGACAGTGCCAGAAAAAAGATGACATCAATAGAAGTATTCCCAAGAAGAACGGATTTAGGATTCCCAATTTTTTTTTATTGAACCCAAAATGCATGTGTGCTATTTATATAACAATTGTCCCAGCTCTGAAAAAGAATTTAATTTTATTTGTGTTTAACAATAGGTAGGCCAATTAAAATGAATGTTGCGTCCAATCGATCAGCTTAAATGTATCAGTCTATTTTTATTTAACTTATACAATAGTCTTTTAGAGTCACCTTGGGCCCAATAGTGGCTATATGGGCACTCTCAGAAAAATGTGCTAAAACTGTATGTAAGTACAACATGAGTACAACATAGCATGGGGCGGTATCCTCAAAGGGACATCTTCTTACTTTATTTATTTACCCTTGAACGGTTCATACTAGTACCTTAAAGGTACATGATCACTACTCTAAGGTCATAATATGAACATTTTAGAGGTAGATATAGGTACAAAGTTGTCTCTTTAAGGATACTGTCCCCATGACAAATTGTTTTTTTCCACATTTTTTATGACTGTGGGTCAAAACAGTTGCACTGAATTAAATGTATCTCCCTTAAGGTGATAAACTAGAGAGAGTTCTAGAGTTTCTGGACTGCATGAGTGTGTGTGTGTGTGTGTGTGTGTGTGTGTGTAAGTACAACATGAGTACAACATAGCATGGGGCGGTATCCTCAAAGGGACATCTTCTTACTTTATTTATTTACCCTTGAACGGTTCATACTAGTACCTTAAAGGTACATGATCACTACTCTAAGGTCATAATATGAACATTTTAGAGGTAGATATAGGTACAAAGTTGTCTCTTTAAGGATACTGTCCCCATGACAAATTGTTTTTTTCCACATTTTTTATGACTGTGGGTCAAAACAGTTGCACTGAATTAAATGTATCTCCCTTAAGGTGATAAACTAGAGAGAGTTCTAGAGTTTCTGGACTGCATGAGTGTGTGTGTGTGTGTGTGTGTGTGTGTGTGTGTGTGTGAGAGAGAGAGCGTGGCAAACACACCTTTCAGTTTCAGAGTCACACATCAAGTTGGATTTCTTTTTCTTGTCTCACACATCTTCTTTAGTTATGGTGAAAAGATGATAATGCAGATCATCTGTGCATGCGCAAGCAGATGTGTTTTAATTTGTGCCTGCCTGTGTCTGAGAGATTTCAAGAAGGAAACACCAGTGCGTGAAGGTTACGGTGCAGGAGAGGTGAGTTAATGGGGTAGTGCGCAGTTCAGGGCAGACGGACTTATCATATACGTGACTGACTTACTGTCTGATAATGATGGCAGAGCTGCCTGTGAGTATATTGGCAAGGTATTCAAGAGGATTATTCAAGTGTTTATGTGTGTGTGAATGATGGAGAGAGACTGAGGATTTCGGCTGACCCTTAGATTTGATGGGGATGTGTAGAGGTGTCTGTGCTACATGACAGCAGCTCCCCGGAGCTTCACATAGACCAACCATTGCTTTATATTCATCCTGCAGACAGAAAGAGAGAGAGTCCATTGACTAGAACATAGCGTAGATGAAAAGCAGAATGAGGAATGCGGGATGGACAGTGACTAAAGGTTTCTGTCAAAGAGTCAAAGAATGAAATCAAACGAAATGCCACTGATTTCTATGATGTCAGTGTTCATACAGTTAATATTAATGAAATACATACTGCATAAATAAATATGAAGAAAGTGGCATAGATTAGTGGTTCTCAACTATGGGGCTGTCAAAGGCTGAGAACCACTGCTTTAGAAGTTTTTCTTAGATTATAAGATATTATATTCATAGCTTTATAACTATTTCATAATTAAGTGCTCATAAGTTCATTTAAACACAGTAATTAAAAAAGAATTGCCTTACATCCTGATGTACAATAATATAGACACGATCATGTTCTTCAGTCATGTATTGGCAGATATTATCCTCCAGATGTCTCACAGTTATTCAATTGAAATATTATAGATAAACCTGAAGCCCCCATCGCTGTTTAATCTCCCATTTCCATCAATGGAAACATCTCCTCAGTCCAAATGCAAAAAAAAAAAAAAAAAACTGTCTGGGTACCCTGCAGAGCGGAGAGAGCTTTGAGAGCTTTTACTTTAAGAGCTTTATCGAAATACTAAATTTATTTCCTCGCATGATTCCAGTTCAATCACTTTTTTTTTTACATTTTATTTTCAATATACTGTAATCCTGGCTGGTAGACTTTTTGTTGTGTTACTTTAATATGATCTTTTATTGGAAGTAGCAGATACAACTGGTTTGAAGCCTGTTCACTGGTAGGGGTTGCATATCTCAGGTTTGAATGTAAAGATTTACATATTAAAAACTGATTATATGGTAAGATTTCACGCTTGTTCAGAACCTTACAGTTCCGAGGTGTTACATCACAGCTGCAGTGTCCTGTAATGTCATCGGTTTGAGACATACAATGTGATGCTGTCATGAGGCTGAGAGGTCACGCGAGTGGTGGCAGGGTTATCACTAACCAACCTTAGTCTTCCATCAGTCACGTGACCTATCTGCATCGTGAACTCTGACCTCCATAAGTGCAACGAAAGGGACGACAACAACATTCGCACACATTTCAGTTGGGCATCATTTCTAAGCATCAAATACACTGTAACAACAAGATATGTTTTGCCAGGGATTTGATCTTTTATACGTGTTTATTTGCCATTTGAAGCTGTGTATGTACTTATGTATCTCTCATATACCACATCCACAAAAAAGACAGCTGGAAGGTGAACACTGAACAAACAACATGTACATTGCTGCAAAACAGGCAAGATTTAAATTTAAAAAACAAAAAAACAAGGACAGGGACAGGGACTCATTCAGTGTAATGTGATAAATGAATCAATTTTGCTGGTTGATTGATTAAGTCAGGACTGTTTGAAATGCAGCTCTTGGCTGGATTTTATTAATTCTGGAAAACATATTCACAAATTTTCATGGCAATTGTATTTATTTATGAGTTATTCTGGGGTTTTTTTCCTGACAGGAATAAAAATGTACAGTCAAAACCGAAAGCCATGTCTGAGCAGATGTTGGCATTACCTTGTTTCTGTTAATGGATGTGTTTGTGTGTATGTAGATTCTTCAGGTTCTGATATGTGTCCATTGGGTCAGTTTCCTTGTGGGAATCTGTCAGTGTGTTTGCCTCAACCACAGCACTGCAACGGGCAGCAGGACTGTCCTAATGGAGCAGACGAAGAGAACTGCGGTAAAACTGTGGGCAAGACATACGGACAATAGATTGTATACAAATGCATGCACACTAATGCATGTGTGCAGACATTTCCACATTATATTGTCATAAACACACACACACACACACACACACACACACATGCAGAGCTATGTGTGTGTAACATAATCCATTACATTATACATTTTAGGTAATGTAATCAGACTACTTTTTGATTTAAATAGGATAATCTCATACAATATTGATATAAAAATAAAGAGAGTAAGAAAATACATTCCATTTGTTAAACATTACGTTACTTCAAGGTTTCCCAAACTGGGGTTTATAAATGAACTGCAGGGGCTTCATGAGTTTAATGAAAAGCTAATAATTAATTAAATCATTAAATCAAGTCATTTTAGAATAACATCAATCAAAATAAAACACTTAAAAAATAAAATGTCTAATTTGTTTACCTGCATGTCATGTGACCATTAACCAACAGAGAACCATGAACATGCAAATGTGATACTTAATTATTAAAATATTTATTTTAAAATCTTAAAGTTTGGTAATGCCTACATTACATGTAAATAAGAAAAACACGTGAATTTGAGTATTTTCAAATGTGTATGACTGAATGTGAATATACTGAATGTATATAAGCGGTAGGCTATTTTAGAAAGGAACATTTAAAAAATGAAAAAGAGGAATTAGGGAGAATCAATAAATTATGAATAATTTATTTATATTGTGTGATATGTGTTCATAATCAGTAAAAAAGTAACTAGTCTGATTTATAATGTAATTTAAAATGTAATTTATTCTAATTACAAGTACTTAATTTTTTTAACCTGATTACATAATCCAGATAACATGTAATCAGTTACTACCCAGCTCTGCACACATGCACAGAGAAATATGAATATTCAAAATACATAAGTGACAATATTAGAATATGTGTGTGTGTTACAGTGGATAACAGTGGTTGGCCCCATCTGTTTGATGCCTTCATGAAAACAAGGGTCCAGGAGTCGAAAGAGTGCAGTAAGTATTCCCATTTGTCCTCCCTCTTTTCCTCTTCGCTTGTTGTATCTTTATCTGTCTGCATTGCTTTGAATGTATGTGTGAATTGTTTAAGGATAAACATGCAAAAAGACTACATACACAATCATTAAAGGCTGATTATGTTGTGTTGAATCCTGCTGCAGCACAATGTTTCTCTGCTATACAAAAATGACAGTGAGGTGTGAGCGTGGCTTTCTGTTCACAGTTATCATTTGTTTTCCAAGCTTTTTTATTTGTTTGCCAGTGCAGGGCTTTCAATATAATTTGTATAATACTCCTCTTAGAAGCAATGGTGTGTAAACCCATGAATGTGAGATGGGTTTAATGCTTAACAACTCTCGGTTAGATGGAACAGATCCTTTGAATGTTATCACTGGTATCAATAGGGTGTGTGTTGCAGTGGATAACAGTGGTTGGCCCCATCTGTTTGATGCCTTCATGAAAACAAGGGTCCAGGAGTCGAAAGAGTGCAGTAAGTATTCCCATTTGTCCTCCCTCTTTTCCTCTTCGCTTGTTGTATCTTTATCTGTCTGCATTGCTTTGAATGTATGTGTGAATTGTTTAAGGATAAACATGCAAAAAGACTACATACACAATCATTAAAGGCTGATTATGTTGTGTTGAATCCTGCTGCAGCACAATGTTTCTCTGCTATACAAAAATGACAGTGAGGTGTGAGCGTGGCTTTCTGTTCACAGTTATCATTTGTTTTCCAAGCTTTTTTATTTGTTTGCCAGTGCATGGCTTTCAATATAATTTGTATAATACTCCTCTTAGAAACAATGGTGTGTAAACCCATGAATGTGAGATGGGTTTAATGCTTAACAACTCTCGGTTAGATGGAACAGATCCTTTGAATGTTATCACTGGGTATTATCAATAGGTGTTATAAACTGATGCTAACACTAGATGTTATTGTGTGGCTTTATCATTGGGTGTTATTTGGTATTAGAATTAGGTTTATTTCTTTATTTTCTTTTTCTTATTTGCCTATTGAACAGGACAGTCAAAAATGAGTTAAGAACGTAATGTGCACTTCCTCTGATTTTAAATCATTTTTCATAGAAAAGGGTCTTTTTTATTCCCTTGAGAACTGCTGTGAAATTCTAGCAAACACTCTAAATTTATGCTTTTATTCCCTTGGCTAATCTTTTACATTTGTAGAAATTTCTTTCTAAAATAACCCTATATGACACTTCTCAATTGATAGAACTATATAAATATGCCTCTTACAGTGCAGCTTCAAGAACTCATTGAGTTGTTTGTCCCTCTTTCATCTTTGAGTGCCAGAAAGAAGGACACGGACAGGCAATGTGTTTAGTTTGGTGAATTTATTGGACACGCTTCATTGTCTCACTTCTGACGATCAGTTTGTTAAAAAAAAAATGCAAACAACAAACTGCAACAAACCAATCTGTCACACTTCTGATTTGATTATAAAAACTTCTAAGCAAATTGGACTAAATTAAAAACTCACCAAAAAGAGATACATTTGCCTGGATGAAAGGGAAGGAAAAGAAGGAGAAAGAAATTTAAACTTGACAACTTACAAATTATTATTTAATGAGTTTTGCTGGCTACAATAAACTGCAGAGAGAGTGAAAAAATGAAAATGTGTTAAACAGAATTGCAATATAAACTTCAACTAAAGCTAATGTTAAAGAAGCTCAGCTTCAAGTTCAGCTAAATGTTTCATTGTCCCTGTAACTGTGCAATTAAAATGTAGTGATGCATCAGTAATGGCATTTTTTTATTACACATATGTAACTAAAGAGGCTAGGCTTAAGATGTACACCGGAGCATGGCTGTTTGCCAGCTGTGTGAGTGTGAGCAGAGGGCAAAAGTGATGACCTGTATTCAGTGAAGACCTGCCACAGTTCTCTGCGAAAAGCAAATGCTCATCTTGAGTATCCACTCTTAATGCAAGAAGTGTTACAGCAGTTTAGCATATGGAAAAGGACAGGGCCTGAGGGTAGAAGAGCCAGGTTCAGGTTGTTTTATTGCGGGAGCAATGCAGAAGTTTTGCTTGGGGACAGTTATCTTGGAGTCTGATGATCCAACACGCTCTCTCAACAGACTGCAAACAGATTGGACTAAATGAAGTCACCAGGAAGGTCATACATACTGATTTGCGCTTTTGTGTTTACGCCAGCTCCATTATGGATGAGAATCAAAACATTTCTGCAAAACTTTCTTCCTTAAAACTCAATCTTTCTTTCTGTTTACCAAGTGAAGCCATTTAACTGAAAGGTTCTTTGCCCACCTAAGCTGTATGAAGTTAGCAAAGCGTTTGGTTTCCACCAATTACTTTCGGCTGGCAAAAGGGCTGGTGCAGTGTTAATAGACTGACCATAGTGGCATGAACTCAAATTCAGATAATTTGAACATTATTACCCAGCAATACCAGTGTAGAGAAAAAGTGAGAGAAAAACTAGAAGACAGCTTTTAGAGATCGATAACGTGTTAAACAGAATTGCAATATAAACTTCAACTAAAGCTAATGTTAAAGAAGCTCAGCTTCAAGTTCAGCTAAATGTTTCATTGTCCCTGTAACTGTGCAATTAAAATGTAGTGATGCATCAGTAATGGCATTTTTTTATTACACATATGTAACTAAAGAGGCTAGGCTTAAGATGTACACCAGAGCATGGCTGTTTGCCAGCTGTGTGAGTGTGAGCAGAGGGCAAAAGTGATGACCTGTATTCAGTGAAGACCTGCCACAGTTCTCTGCGAAAAGCAAATGCTCATCTTGAGTATCCACTCTTAATGCAAGAAGTGTTACAGCAGTTTAGCATATGGAAAAGGACAGGGCCTGAGGGTAGAAGAGCCAGGTTCAGGTTGTTTTATTGCGGGAGCAATGCAGAAGTTTTGCTTGGGGACAGTTATCTTGGAGTCTGATGATCCAACACGCTCTCTCAACAGACTGCAAACAGATTGGACTAAATGAAGTCACCAGGAAGGTCATACATACTGATTTGCGCTTTTGTGTTTACGCCAGCTCCATTATGGATGAGAATCAAAACATTTCTGCAAAACTTTCTTCCTTAAAACTCAATCTTTCTTTCTGTTTACCAAGTGAAGCCATTTAACTGAAAGGTTCTTTGCCCACCTAAGCTGTATGAAGTTAGCAAAGCGTTTGGTTTCCACCAATTACTTTCGGCTGGCAAAAGGGCTGGTGCAGTGTTAATAGACTGACCATAGTGGCATGAACTCAAATTCAGATAATTTGAACAGTATTACCCAGCAATACCAGTGTAGAGAAAAAGTGAGAGAAAAACTAGAAGAAAGCTTTTAGAGATCGATAGGAGAAAGGGGTGATGGTGGTGATGTCTAATTCCAAGGGAAATATACTTCTTATTAGCTTGGTGCCTGTCCTCTACCATCACCTATCACTGAAGACACCAGCTCTTAAAGGCAACACAGACACCTAATTTAATTTTGTAGAACAAATGTGTCAAACTCAGCTCATGGAGGGCCACTGTCCTGCAGAATTTAGCTCCAACCCTAATTAAACACACCTGATCCAGCTAATCAAGCCTTGAGTGCCAGAAACTTCCAGGCAGGCGTGTTGGAGTTGGTTGGAGCTAAACTCAGGAGTCGAGTTTGACACGTGTTCTAGAAAAGTGAACTCCTAAATGTGACAATTCCCCTGCAAGGACCCCATATCTAATAAAAATGTAATTATTGTAATTTCATTTAATTTAATTACATTAAAAAATTCCATTTAACATTTGCATTTTTATACCACTTTTCTTTGAACATTTCCACACATTTCCGTTTGAAAATCCCTTGATTATAGTCATTCAGTAGTACAGCAAAACTGTCACATACTGTACTGTTGTCAGTGGATAGCAGATTGGGCCTGTCAGAGACGGTCTTTCTAACTGCAGATGTTATGCAGCACTTAATGGGGTTTCCTCCTTGTTATGCATGTCTCTCCAGAGCTTTGGGTTTAATGGCAAGCGATAGACTGCTGCTGCTTTCTGAAAGAAACTGTCCTATGTGGGCTGAGAGGGGATCCCAGGGGGTTGATATTGCTCACAACACTATACTGTAATTTAGAGTTCTTTAGAGGTTGATCATGGTGGTACAGCTAATTTTAACGGTACAGACCTAATGAACGTAAAAGAAGGGTCCAGTTTATTTATTTTTTGTTGCATCCTTTTTGCAGAATGATTTGTATTTTTGATGTATACTGCAGCATAACTGACTGGGAAAAAATCCTCTGTACTTTTAAGTTTCATCCACAGATGGCGATAAAGAGACCCAAGTTCTGTAGTGCAGCTTTCATTAAAAAACACTCAATATTTAAGCCCCTATCTCTGCTTGTCTCATGTGTTCTACATGCAGACTGATTTCCAATAGATAATGTTTCTTTAAAACCAAATGCACTGTTTAAACTGATCAATGACAAATACGGTCCTATTCAATATTATAGCACTCTAGAGTTAAGGAGATTGTCTTCATTTACTTACTCTCATGGCATTCCAAACCGACTTTGTTTCTTCTGCAGAACACAACATTTAAACATATATTTAAAGGAATGTTTCAACTGTTTTTGTTCATACAATCAAAGTCAGTGAGGTTTAAAACAACACTGGACTCCATACTTTCATTGTATGGACAGAGAAAAGTCATAGGTTTTTGAGTACGTAAATGATGACAGCTTTCAAGCAATCACCCTAAATTCTTGCAATAAATTTGATCATATCTGAACCTATAACACAGATGGGGGTGATAATAGAGAGTAGTGGAAATGTTCAGGTTGTGGCTGCCAAAATATTCTCAGTCTAAGCCATTTTTATGATCTTTTTTATTCTTTTCCAGGGCAGAAAAGAAAATAGTTGTTTATAGTAGCACAATGTTGCAGACAATAAATACACACAGGACAATAAATATAGACTGTACAGTGCACATTAGACAAAGCAGCTAATGTAATATCCTGTAGTGATGACAGAGCAAATAAGTACAGTAAGTGT